TTTTTTGTCACAAGGTCTGTAATGTTAGCATCTATTGACCTCTTCTATACATAATCTTTATTTCTTAACAATATGTTCAATATCTTGAACAATAATTGAAACAGTAAAATTTTAAAACTCAGCCCCAATATTTTGTATTGATTTCAGCAGCAAAGATTGCTTTTAAAACAAAAATAAATATCATTTAAAAAAATATATTATTCAATCTAATTTTTAGAAGTCTGTGGTGAATGCAGAAATGAGAATTTGGATGCCCTGTGGTAGCAGCCTCTCCACCAGGGTGCCCTGATGCATGTATGTATGTGTATGTGCGTGACTGCCTGCGCATGTGTGTGCGTGAGGCAGGACGCCGCAGAGATCCTGTCCCGCGGCACCCCCAGTCCTCTGGACACCTCCATGCTGACTTCGGCCTCCTTGCCGCTCATCACGCTCTCCGCCGCCCCTCCCGCTGCTTCCTGGATGGTGCCCATCAGCGTGGGCATGGACCAGCTGCGTCCGTACACCGCCTATGTCTTTGAGGTGTCTGCCTTCACCAGCGATGGCGAGGGCCAGATCGCCAGCTACATGGTCCGAATGCCCGAGTCAGGTAGCATCCCGTCACCTTTTCTGATCTGATCTTCTCATTCTTCTCATTTTAGAGTCAGCTCCAGAACTAGAGGAGGTGAGACCAAGATATCTGTTTGGTTGGTGCCACCTCCTCTACTTGCTTGGACCCACCTCCTCCACATATGATTGGTTATCTGTCTGAACCAATCATTTTTCCTTCTGCCCTCAGAACATTTTTTCTGAAAGTAAAACTCTCACGAGCCTGAGGTACTTAGGGTGAAGAGCCTTGCCCAAGGACCCAGCAGTGACATAATTCTGCCAGCTATGGGATTATATGTGTTAGGCCAGCAGGTAGATACACTGTTACAGACTCAGAATTGAAACCTAAAAGTTGTTGGTGCCCACAAAGAATCCAGCTCTTCACATAAACATCCTTCTGTTGTGATAATGGTAGCAAATTATAAGCTAACTCCTTTTATTAAACCGAATGATTTCTGATGCTATGGCGATTTAATCTGGGGTGTTTCCATGCCTACTAGGTTGACGGTTGAAATGTAACAGCACAGTTTAGCCAGTGAAGTCGTTGTTTCCTGGAGCTACTCCATCGCAGAAGAGGGTTATGGGTCGGCCATGTTCACTTTCCTCTGTGCTCCTCTGTGGTTCTTCCTTCGAAGCCAACAATCTTCGCCACAATAGGCTTTGATGTGACACAATCCCTGAATCTGGAGGCAGGGGTCTTGTAATGAAAGCACAATGACAGCCTTACTTATCAACAAACCCAGTAAATTAATTGCATTTTAAAAATGGCTTGTGAGTAACGCAATTCAAAGTCAATATCTGCAAAATTTAATTACACGTTTTAGCTTATTATAACACAAAATTTGCATTTCATTAATAGGAGGCTATCTCTTATAGCCTTCAGTAAACCTATTTCACCAAAGTAAATTGAAGTAGTGTTTAGTCGATTGTTATTGATGACGCTCGGTTTGAGGTCATGTGACCTTTATCCAATCATTTATTGAGGTCACTCTGTTAAGGACAGAGGTTAGCAGTTGTGGTCTCCTAATACGTTTCTGTTTTCTCTTGTTTTCAAGCTTTTAACACTATCATGCAAAGCTGAAGAAACCTGGTGCATCATGGGCTTTTACGCAAACTTCCACTGCATGGCACATGCAGTGATGTCAGTGACTCAGCGTTCTCTCTTTTTTTTTTGCTAGTTCTAATTTTCCTTTTCTCCACCATATTGATTACCTGGATGAAGTGAGTGGGGGATTGATTTTCCCTGAAAGAGTGAGCAGGAGAGAAGCCAGAACGTGAAACCCACCTAGAAGGAGACAGTTTGATTAAGTTCTTTCTCTCTCCGTCTTTCTCTTGACTTTGACCTCTGCCCTTGTGTCCTACACTCCAAGCTGACTTGAAACACTATCTTAGACAGCCTTGGATAAAGCTCAGAGCTCAATGCATTATGCAGGACTGTTACATAACACACAAAGCTTTGGGGTGGATTCTGTCCAAAAAAACAAAGCACTACGGTGCTCACGCTTCTGGGAATTTTTCCTCACTTCTCACCGTGCTTGACGATAGACTAAACATCTCCTCCCAAATCCCCCTTGGAATCCCTTCATTCTTTTCCATATGAAAACACATCTATTCTCTTAAAAATTAGTTTTCGTGCCTTGAGGTAATTTTACTGGCAATTGGAGGCAGTAGTTTTTGTATAACCCCAAGACTATATTTTTATGTATTATATGGCGACAGAAGCAGATTTTAACTGGTTCTAGTTATGATATCTATTTTTCCCGTCTGTATATATTATAGCTGCTCAGATATTCTGCTGAATGTTTTTCTTGAACTTTGCTTTCAGTCTAAATAACAAAATTACACATAAAATGTTTTTCCCTGGCACCAATGGTTGTGTTCTTGGCCTGGCTGATCCCTGCTTTGTTTTTATATGACAGAAAATGCTTGGCATTCCGGAATTTTCCTCTTCCGATGCTGAGCTTTCATTCCCGTGGAATGACTCTGGAGTGGAAGCAATGTGACAGTCTGGAAATCTATAGCGAACTTCTATGAAGGTCATCGCGTGTTGCGCTTGCATTTTTCTGGAGGGTGTTTATACTTGCATATAACATTTTGCAAGCAGCTATAAAGAATGAAAGGAATGTACAGTATTATGAAAACAGTATTATAGAAAAGTATTATAGCAACACTGTCATTCACTGCCCTTATAAACAGAAGTAAGAGGGCCATTAAAGTTCAGTTTTTCTGGAGGTAGTTGCACCAATTGTAAGAGACAGGGTGCAGCTGACTCCTGATTGCTGTCTTCTGAGTCAGCCTGTGAATCACTCATACCACTATGCTTTTCCTCAGGAATAAGTGCTTGGCTCACACCAGTATGGGTCATATCTTGGGCAGCCACTGGGTGGTCAGGGCTGCATCGGAGCCCTGTCAGAACCTGCTTCCCATAAACCCAAACCTGGACCTTCCAGTTCAGGAACTCGAGCTCTTAGCTGGGACAAAGACTCACTTCATGTACTAATACAGTGTGTATAATACTGCCAAGGCTGGCTGCGTAAAGGGAATAGATTAATATACACTTTGCTTAGAGCATCTCCATGGAGGTGTGTTGATAGAAGCACTAGCTTCTTATTAGAACATATTTTATGGGATAGGCTGTTACAGGGGATTTGAGTTATATGGTAGGAATCCACATGATTAAAATGACCCATGATTACGTTAGTGCTGTGATCGTAGCTTAGTGGTCAGCCGAGTTTGGAGAATCTTCTGGATTAGAGAGATGCAGAAATAAACTCCAGCCTCGACACTACTGTTTGTACTCTAGACTTTCAGATATCCTGCTGAATAAAGCTAAATATCCTTGAGAAATCACTGATTAGTCATATAGAAGATTTGGTTCCTATTTTTTGTTCTCCTTCAAACAATTCTTTAGTTTGATTGCATCACTATAATGCACAATGAATGTTAAATTATTAATATTAAAAGCTGCAGCATTTGTATAAAAGGAGAACTGGCAGAATATTGTCACATTTTGCCTGCCATCTATGTTTATTGTCGAATGGAACGGTGTTTGGTTAGCTAGGGAAAACACTTCCCATGTAAGAGTGACACTGGATTTTATCCAGTTACTGGATTTGAGGTCCTGATCCAGACCATGTCGGATCCCTTGGGCCCCCCTCGGCATTCTCGGTCCAGAGGTGATTGGCGTGTTTCCCAGGCGGGATTGCCAGAGAGAATTTAGCGGCAGAGCCTGATGCTAATGCTAACTGTTACCCAGAAGGCCTGCTTCTCACATGCCTTGTAGAAGATCGGGAAATCCTTGCAGGGTTTTCAGAGGTGCCAGCAGCTCCTCCCACACTCCCCGCATAACTGGCACAGCTTCGTGCTGTTCACACAACTGCGTTAATCCTGCCAGAACTTTAGGAAGCTACAAAGGAGCTACGGACCGCTAAGATAAGCAAACTGCCTTCCTGTTTGTAAGGACAGCTATAGCAAAAATTATAGATGGACTCCTGTTTAACATTTGAAGTTCTTGATAGGTTTGTGACGCAATAGCACAACACATCCTGCTCCCAATAGCTAAATTACAATAATTAATTTTGTAAAATAAACAAATGGCCTAAAACAGCTTTGACGTCCTTGATTAGTAGTTTTGTAATTTAGAGCTTGTTTTTCACTGTAGGCCTAGTGACCTGTCTGCATTTTTTGGTAACAAATTAATCCTTTTCTGAAGAAGGTTGGTCAGCTGGGGGAGGGTGGGCAGGGTCTACAATGAGCCACTCCAATCCCCCTCCCCCAACATCCTGCAGTTGGCATGAGCCGAGCATGTTCAGGATACCAAAGGTGGCTGTTGTATTGGCCAATCGGGTGTGTGTGTGTGTATGTGTGTGTGTGTGTGAGTGAAGAGGGGAAGAATGGATGGAATGCTCTGCTTGGACGGACTCTCTGGAAATGCAGAGGATCCTTGTTGCTGTGGTCAGGCTGCTCCTCGCTGCTGCCGCTGCGTCTGCCCGTGTCTCAGGGCAGCTGGGTGAGTTGTGAGGCCTGTGGGCTGGTAGCCATACCCTCCTCCCTACATGTTCACTCAGGGTTTGGGCTTGGCTATTCCTCAACAGACTGGAACCTGTCAGCAACGTGCCAGAATTATTCCCCACTTTGATTTCTGTGCATATTCCATTTAATTCGATTTTGAGATGCTGAAGTGTTCGTTAAAGGATAAATTCATTATAGCGCTTAAATCTGCCACTGCTTACTTTTTAGGCATTATTTTATATCAGTTATTACTATATCAATGTTATTAAATATGTATATGTTTATCTAATGCATATATTTTTCTCTGTAAAATATAAATCTTTGAAATCTTTTTTGAACAAGACACCCATCTAGAAATTGCATTTGTTTTGTATTAAAATGATGTTATAATAATATTTGAATGGTGATTCTCTAAACCAAACCTTCAGTAAACGCAGAAAAGGCCAGATGCTAATTAAGTTACAAGCTAACTGATTAACCAGATCTAACGTAAAGAAGTACTGTGGTCTTCCAGCCCCCGAGGATCCGCCCCAGAACCTGTCTGTGTGGAACATCACGTCCAAGTCCTTCTCTGTCTCTTGGGATCCACCGACCATCATCACCGGGCGCTTCAGCTATGTCCTGGAGCTCCACGGCCCTGCTGGTGAGATCGCCGAGAACCCGCATGCACCCATGTGCCGTTTCATCCCCTGGTTTGCATTCCTTCCTAGAACTGAGGGGCTTAAGTAGCACATCTATAATTTATAGTCTATTGTGATCTACGCTAGCACATAGAAATCCGCTCTCTGAGCGAAACGGACGCTGGATCTGTTAAGCATCTATCTCTCCATATCGTATTTAGATCGAGTAATATGGTGTCTTGATCAACATAATCTTATCTTTAGAGTGCATGCTACCGTAAGGCAATGGTCAGCAGAGTTTGCACTGAAGTAAGTTTCCTCATCACTATATTTTTCTGTGCTTCGTTCTAGGTTTCATGTTTGAAAACAGCACCATTGATATGAAGCTGTCATACTCCGGTCTCACCCCCTATACGAACTACAGGCTGGTTATTCGAGCTAAATCCGCTGGTGCTCTTGGACCAGAGGCGGTAACCACTGTTCTGACTCCAGCAGAGGGTTAGTGTTACACTTGAGGATTTTTCAGAGGAATCCGATCTGCTGTAGGAGTAGGAACCCTTCCCCATCTCATTCATCGCCACTAGTTAACCTCTGTCGCCCTCTGCTGGCCAGAAGAGTTATAAGATGCCTCCACCAGCAGATTGTGGCAATTGATAGTTTGCTTATTTACCTTCTGTGTGTTGTTTGCGGCATTGCAGCTGCCTTCAGTCTCTGCCTTAATGTGGTTCTCCTGTGCATGTTTTTGCTGCTGCATAGCTCCCAGTGCCGTGAATGACCTCACCACCACGGCAATTGACTCCACATCGGTGAAGCTGTCATGGAGGAGTCCCAGCCATCCCAATGGACTAATCACCCAGTACAAGATTCTGGTTCTCATCCAGGACACAGTGGTGCAGAACATCACTCTCACTGGAAGGGAAAATGTGGAGGTGCTTACTTCTGCAATGATACGTTTGTTCATAAAAGTTTCCATAAAACTTTTGATATATAGGCAGTCCACAGGTTGCGAACAAAATGCGTTCCCTAAATCAAGGTTTAAGTCGAATTTTTAAGTCATAAAAATACAGTACAAAATAATAATAATAATAATAATTATACAGTAAATAATTAAAAGTAACTACATACTGTAGTGTACCTCTAGTCGATGAACCGCCAGAGCCACAAGATGCTATCATGAACGTCACAAAGTAGTGCGTGCATTTGGTATTACAAACCATATCTAAGCGTATTTTTTATATAACAGACTTTATGGCAGTCTGTTAGTAAGTATGAATTTTCCGTAAGTTGGACATTTTTAACCTGGGGACTGCCTGGAAATCTAACCGTCTGGTTGAGAATGATCAAACTCTGCTTTAATAATATGTCAGTACATTGTCACAGAATGACTCTTGTTGTTGTCTTCTTGTTGTTATACATAAACCGTTCGTCTTATTTGTATAAATGTGCCCACCGATGTGTTGCTTTGCCGTAGGGTAACAGGTTACTCAGGGCCAGAAGGGATATCATCGATCTTCTGCCACAATCTCACGGAAGATCAGTCAACTTCAACCCAACAACTTCGCTGCCTTTATCCCAAGGCACAGCATTTCCCCTGTCTACCACAAGTCGTTCTGACAAAGGCACCACCCAAACAGCCTCCACCCAAACGCCGACCCCCCTGGCGCTCACCCTCTCTCCCACGGCCTCACCTCCAGCCTGGCTAACAGCCACCATTCCCTCCCGGGCATCTGATGGTCATGTACAGGATGTATCCACCACCCCGACTGGCACTGCTCCTACGGGGACGATGCAGGCTTTCACTGCTCCCATTGGCTCTGACCCGACTCAGACCCGGCTCTCCACACGCTCCGCTACTCCAGGTGATGTCACAGAAGGTAAATCATTTGATCAATCATATGATTGCTGCCAAGTGGGGCTGCTTATACATCATCTCTGTTTTGTGTCTTCCCACTACTCACTGGAGATTAGTGCTTATCACCCTGTAAGGGAAGAATGTGTTTTATCTATTGAAGATAGACTGGGGTTTTTCCTCCAAGACACCAAAATCCTGCTTCAAAAATGATTCCATTATATGTGATGTGTTCAATCAATGTCATTTTGAATCGTTTCACTTCTTGTGTCATCCACAGTCATGGTTCCCACCGTAGAAGTGATCGACATGTCCGCTGATCCGATCTCCTACGTGGTTCAAAACCTCAGTCCCTTTACAGAATACACATTCACCGTTTCTGCCTTCACTACTGTCGGGGAAGGACCTGTGGTGGAAATTGTGGCGAAAACTAGGGAGCAGGGTAACATCTGTCCGCAGCTGCTTACCTACAGAGAGCTGTAGTGTTTCAGTCTGGAAGGTTTAGCCTCTGACACCTGACACCTCTCATTCTTTTTTAGTGCCAAGCTCTGTTCAAAGCATCTCTTGCCAAAATGTAAGCACCACCTCCATCCTGGTGTCGTGGGAACCTCCTCTGTACCCAAACGGCAAGATCACGCATTATACTGTCTATGGGCTGGACCTGAGCAACCAAGAGTCTTTCAAGTGGGTTACCAATGAGACCAGTATCATCCTTACAGGTGATACATCGCAAGTTTGTTTCTGCTCCCTGTGCAAGCCTTCAGATTACAGATGCTCCTCTACTTACGAACGAGATACGTTCCGAACGGCCGTTCATAACTTGAAATGTTCGTAAGTCGTTATTCAACATCATTTTAAGGGTATACGCAAGTACAAAGAACTAGGATGCTGGGAGTACGCACGCTACGCTGCTGCGCGGCGGGAGTAGCTGCCAGAGGTCGTACTAGGCAGAATTTGTGTGCAGAGAAGAAAATGATGTTGCGGACAGGAAATGGGAGCCCAATGAACACAATTTGGACTTACAGTCCTCTTCGTTTGTATGTCTGAAAGTTTGTAAGTTGAGGAGTGTCTGTATTGCCTTTCCACAGATGATAATAGTTCTGCTGTATTCATATCCACAGCCATCATATATGCATTACACAGTCTATATTACTGTGATATAAATGTTCGTATTATATCCTTAAATGAGATTGCCAGCTTCAGGCTTTCTCATCGTATGTACAGGGAACCAAAACTCACTCTGTCCTCATTAAATTTCCAAAACTCACAGATGTTTTCTCAAAAATATATGACATGGAATGAGTGTGTTTTGGAAATTTTCTCGTCAGAAATTAATTTTTACGTTGTGCCCAAATACAGAACTGAAGAAATACACCCGATATAAGCTGCGAGTGGCGGCCTCTACAGCCGTGGGAGAGAGCTCCCTGTCTGAGGAGGACGACGTCTTTGCCGTCACCATGGAAGACGGTATTGGCATGTGTGCTACCGGAGGTGGAAAGTTCAGGTTCAGAAACTGAACTCAGGTTCACTTGAGTATGAAGAGTCACATTCACAGAGTACTCTGCTGGTTGGTTGAAACAAAATCTCGCTCAGGACTTTTACTTCCTGGACCTGAACTTTGCGCCTCTGCGTGTTGCTCACACCCTCACATCCTTTGCCAGATCCCAGTCAGAAGCCAACATCTTTATACTCTGAATGCTGTACAGATCAAGCCATATGGAAGAAGCTGCAGTATTTTGTATACAGTATATGACAAGTCGTAAACCTCATGGAGCATTGCTGCTGAAGCCAGATGTTCATGTCCTAAAGTGATAAATCAGCAGGGTGATTGGTGATTTTCTTAAAGTAAACCTCTCTCTGCTTTCCAGAGCCTGAGTCACCCCCGGTGAACCTAGCTGTTTACAACACCACCTCTTCCACGGCCGTGGTCACATGGTGGCCACCCGAGGCACCCAATGGGATAATCACGCTCTACAAGATCTTCTTTTGGAACTCCACGCTTGGCGCGGTGGTCAACAGCACATCCCCAAACGTTACGCTTCGTGGTTTGAAACCCTTCTCTTTCTACAACGTGTCTGTCAGAGCTTACACCAAGTATGGACATGGAAATCAAACATCTGCTGTTTTGGAGATCTTGACCGCTGAAGATGGTAAGTAAATCAGTGGGTCATCTTGGTATTATATTGCTGCACTATGCATATGTCCTACAGTATGTGCATCCTTCCGCTATACAGTTCCTGGAAGCCCCCCCTTCAACCTTACCTACGAAAGCATCAACTCCACTGAGGTGTTGGTCTCCTGGCAACCACCCCTGCTTGCCAACGGCATCATCTTGTTCTACACGGTGGAGTATTGGAACTCTACCCACAACCTCAACCTCAGCACCCCCGGAACCGCGGTCCGCCTGTCCAATCTCCGCAAGTTTGCCCGTTACCGCGTGATGATCCAGGCCAACACCCGGCTGGGCAGCGGGAACCAGACCAGTGAGATCCTTAACATCACCACGCTGGAGGATGGTGAGTGGGTGACCGAGCAGGTGGTGGATCCTGCCGTTCTTTAATTGGGAAGCTACCAAATAGAGGCTCTTCTCCATGGTATCGGTGATGGTAGGTAACAGATTCCTTTTAGGGTCAATGCCACATGGTTGCTGTTGTTGGCTTAAGATAAAAGTGGAATATGTCTGTGGGAGTGTGAATGCTACAAAATGTTCCTTCCTACACACTGTTTCATAATTTGCCTTTTTAGTTATTTTCAGGATGCCACAAGCCCCAGAATCTGCAATCTTTGTCATGCTAATTTAATTCTCTCCCGTAGCTTCGGATCAATGGCCTGCTGTCTTTTGTCTTGTTCGTTTCAAGCCGGGGCAGCATTGTTCCACATTATTGGTGTACAATTTCGTCTTTTTCTCCTTGTGTTTGCACTCAGAGAGGAGAATGCAAAATCCATCAAATCTGTTTGGGTCACTGCTGTGTCAAGTTTAACTTCTAAACAGCCACGTGTCAGCCTGATCACAATTGTAGCAGTGATCAAGACCGGGAAGATTAACTGAGGACTAGATGTTCAGTGCCTAACTGTATATATCTCACTACAATATATGGAGCAAAGAGTTTTCTCTTTGTTATGTGTCAGCATAAACCATTCACATAAATAATGAACATCAAATGGCTCTACATCTGTGAAGAATCCATACTGCAGTAGGTTCTGGCCCCTACACGCCATAGGTCCACTCATAATATGTGAAGGTTCTGCCCAGTGCTTTTTTCCTCCCATGATATCTAGGGTTGCGAATTTGAGTCATTCATCTTCGGTTCCACTTCATTTCATATTAGCTGGCAGCCAAAGCCATATTAGCTGGCAACCCAGTGTGCATTAAGCTCACATGTTCCCATCTGATTTGCAGCTCAATTTCTTGGATGCCACTGTATCCAGTGATTTAGGGCAAGTAATCAAGTCTGAAGTCACCAACAGCTAATGTGTTTTTCATAAACAGTACCAAGTTCTCCCCCTCGATTCCTGTTTGCCAGAAGGTTGTCTGATGACCAAGTAGAGTTGTCCTGGACACCACCGTTAGAAGTAAATTCAGAAATCTTATACTATCTTGTGCGTGTCTGGTAAGTTTAATTATTTTATATTTTAATGTGAGTAGAGAGGTATGTCAACCGGGTTTTAGTTGATTTTTTTAATACAATTATTTACCTTTTCTGCCTCTGCCCTTCCACTGGACAGGAATCTAACATTTGAGTATATACAGAATGTCACTGTCACATCCCTGGTGGTGACTGTCGAAGATGGTGGTCAGTACAATGCGTCAGTCTCTGCCTGGACCAGACTAGGGAACGGGGGCATTCTGGTCTTCGTCATGTTCACAGCCTCGGATACAGGTTGGTTGCACTCACAGGCTTCAACATCCAGTTGGATGCATGCCCATAAAAATGTGCCATACCCTCCACATCATTTTTTATTATGCCTTTCATTATGAACATTATGCCTTTCAGCACAGAGATGTTGATCATCTCCTTTGCTGACTCTTTGGCATTATATGTCAAAAAAAATATTGTTTTACTAATAATGATTTTCTGTTTAAAATATTTTTGTTGCTGTACATCATACGTCAATACTGCGTGTTTTTAAAAAAATCCCACAATGCATTGTGCATACAGTGATACATTATACATTCAACATTCCATTCCATTGTCACTGAGATGAAGAGGCTGTATATGGTTTTAACAACATGCATGCTTTGTGATCTGTAAGGTCCAGCTGATCCTCCACAGAACATCTCCTCCGTCAGCTTAACTTCCAGCTCAGTACAAGTGACGTGGCTCCCTCCCTCTCAGCCCAATGGACTCATCCTGTTTTACACTGTCTACTACAGTAACAGCTCCGGTGTTTACATCCAGGTGAAAATATCTGCATCATTTCACCTATTTGGTCACAGAAAGCAGGGCCGCAGTTTGTCAGGCTGGGCAGGTCCATTTAAACCGGCCTTGCGGTATGTGTCCTCCTCAGCCTCAGCGTCTGGGCTTATGGCCTAAACTGGGCCTGCCAGATGGACACAAACAGCTGGCGTGAGGAGTGAAAAAAAGAATTATTTTGGTGCTGAAAGATCTCGCGTATGCGATGGGAATGTGCCGGGATCAGTGTAATCTGTAGCTGGCCCAGAGTTGGTCCCGACCCAGGGGGTTGAGAAAAGCTGACACTGCCTTCAGTAGAAGGAGCTTAGTATTAATACTGGGATATCGGAATCTGAGCAGCCATGATGTACTCACAAACGTGCGTGTGTATTTATATATGAGGAATACCCTGAGAAACAGAGATTAGCCCTCAGTCCAGATCCTGCAAACTTGCAGTAACACCCACTATCCCTGCTTCCAAGCCTCACCTTGGCTTGCACTACCCAGTGCGCAAATAGCCGAGGTGCTGGCTAAGCCCCCCGGTGTTACACCTCCTCCACCAGTAGGGGTCGCTTTGAAGGGACAATCTTCTAATTAGCATTTCTCACCCTGGCTTTCCAGGTCAGAGTAAATAATGGCGCAGTCAGGATGTCAGAGATCAGAGGACGGTAGCAAACACAAACAGAGGCCGTGTCCAGCAAAGAGGAAATGCAGATTAAGCGCGGTGACGTAGTTTTGTTTGCACTGGGGGGGGGGGGGGGGGGTGTTAATGAGTGTGTCTGCTGCTCTCAAGCCTTGATGATCAGTGAGCGGAGGTGAAACTTTCATCTGACTGGGAACAAGTGCAGTACACAAAGCCCTCATGCTAATAGTCAGAGCAGATGGCCGCATGGAGCTTTGGAACGATCCGGTTTTATTTTGCGTGCCAAATATGACGGTTTTTTTTGTCTCCCTCATGACCCTGCTGTGAATAAGCAGGTGGAAGATGGATGGATGGATGTTTGCTTGGCTGTGAAGTTGCTTTGACACACTTAAGTTTCCAAATGGGCATTTAAATTCATTAAATAGCTGCTAGCTGTCTTTTTGTCTACTATAAATAAACTGCATTCTTCTAAACTGTATGCACATATTTTTGAAGGATACGTATATACACGATTATCACAATCTGCCAATCTCTTCCTAATAAATATATTATCCAATGGGAAGTGAGGCATACTAGCCTTTGGTTGAAAGCACAAGGAAAGGAAATCCCTCTTATGGTGGATTCTGAAGCCTTTGGCGTTTATCGATACCTAGAACGCAAAGAATGTACTTCTGTTCTTGGCAAGAGTGTTCTTACTAACTTGACTCCCAAGAACGAACTCGGGATGTGATGAATGATGGGAATATTCTTGTTGCGATGGATGCAAGTGGTGCATCCTTGATTTCTGGGGTGAGGCAAGAACGACATCTGGGGATTTTTACCATCCTCTGTACTTCTGTTCTTGAGCATTGGAACTATACTTCAGGGCTGGAAGATGATGTTAAATGGTTAGGCGAAAACACCAGAACGGTCAAGTAGACATATTGATGAACACTCCTTGTTTCTCTCATCACTAGTCCTGGCTCACAGTTGTTAGTTGTGTATCCCCTGTAGCGGGTCCCCGTGTTTGACTTGGACCCCCAGTTGTCAGAGGGACCCCTGTCCATCGCCATAGGAAGCCTAGCTAAAGGAAGCAACTACAGCCTGTGGCTGACCTCCAGCACCGCACAGGGGGATGGCGGCGTCCTGAGTGACATCATCTATGTGCAGACGCCAGAGGATGGTGGGTAATCAGGCCTGCAGTCTCCCTAGTTGGTGGCGTCTGTGACCTTTTTACCCGGCTTGTTTTTAAAAGACAAAAACCACGTAAAGATTCTGAGGTTGGTGTATATGTGTTGGTATCAGTGACATAATTTTCAGCATTTTTGTGAAAGGAGAAAAGCCTGTCACTGTTGCAAACTGGTTCTTTTACTCTCAGCTCCTGTCACTTCAGTTTCATCACGGGATGACGTGAGATGACCAGTTTGTTTCTCCTTTTACAGAACGTGGTGAAAATCAAACTGTAACTTTAATAAAGCATAAAGCATTAAGCAACAGAATGTTTAGAAGGACAGATATGTTTGTCCTTTCTGCAAGCGGTTTCAGAAATGTTATCAGAAGCACTTTCATTTGAAAAAAACATGTTTGCATGTGTTGATTTAGAAATTGTACCAGTATAATATCACATTTCATGAGAGCCGTTGTTTATTTTTTGCTGTTCTTTGAATCGGTGAGCTGATCTGCAGGGCCCAGTTTAACTGATTAGACTGCATATGTTAATCTCATGTTTTTACGTGGTTTTGAGGGAAAAAAGGCGTAGACGTCACCTCGAAGTAAGAGCCCTCTTTATTCTGAAGCAATGTTGTTGACTGTGCTGGTTTATATTGTTACCTGTTCTGTATTATTACCCTTGTCCTGTTCCTGAGATCACACTCTCTAGTTAAAACCTGTTGTTGTTTTCCAGCTGCTGGGGATCCAACACTGCCTGTCCTGTTCAGACCAGGCCGTGACTCTCCCTTTCCTGGCTCCGCCCCTCACATGACCCTGTAGCCAATAGGCAACAGGCTTTCCATGTCCCCTCCCCCCAGTCTCCACTGGGAATCCCCACTGGGGTTTCCCCTCTGTCCTACAGGGGTTATTTACCCCCCCCACTCCTCCACCCCGCCCCCTCCTATGGTGGCCCACGTGGGCAAGTGTGTCACGTAGAGTTTGTCATTCACGAGTGCACGTCAGGAAATTCAACACGTCTAAGACATCTGAGACTTCATTCTGTGTGTTTCTAATGTAAATGCGTGCCACAGCCCTGAATGCTGGGTGCTTAGGGTCTAACAATACAGAGAGAGTGGGTGAGTGTGTGGGCGCTTGACACAGTGAAAGGGGTTTGACCGACTAGGCATGTCACCAGGTTCATGGTATCACAGCGACATCAATTAGGAAGATACCACGTCAGGTTGGTGTCGGGGGGTGTGCTGCGTGACTGTTTCCGTGTGCTTTGATTGGCGTTTCAGCGACATGTTCCACTTTTATGTTAAGCTCTGCCTTTTTCCTCTAATCTTTCAGTACCAGGCATCACAAATTGTGTGTTTTTCTGAATTTCCATGTTAATTAGATGATTCTGATTTTATTCTCACTGACCTCTTGAATCAGTGTGTTGCCATTGGATAATGAATACAAACAATGCAATGGTGGTAGATGTTTGTTATTAATATATATTCATTGCATTAAGTCTAATGATAAAATGAATATGGCTAGAGTCAATGATTCAAAGAGAATAATTTCCTTTTTATCTTTTATTTATTTATTTATTTATTTATTTATTTATATAGCGCATTTAATGTATTTTCTGGTTTATCAATATTTTATCTAATTAGTGTGATTCTCCTCTGGCTTGTAGTTCCGGACGGGCCGATCCACAATCTCACGGCCCTGAACTTCTCCTCCACTGCCATCATCGTGAGCTGGGACCCCCCCGTCTCACCCAACGGGCGGGTCTTCTACCACCTGACCCTCAAGGAGGCACGCGACGCCTCGGGCAACCGGACGGACAAGACGACCAGCGACACGGTGTTCCTGTTCACCAAGCTGAAGAAGTACACTGACTACGTGCTGACTGTCACACCAGCCACCTCTGCTGGCCACTCGGAGAACAGCACCACCCTTCTCCACTTGAGGACCGACGATGACAGTGAGTTGATCGCCATTGTCCTTCAATGGTCCAGCTAAGTCTCAGACCCCCATAAACCTCCTGGACGTCCTTCCTTGCCCTCATGTGTCCTTCCTGTTCCCAGTTCCCTCATCGCCACCAGTGATGGTCTCCAGTAGAAACATCACTTCCTCATCCATCCACCTATCCTGGCTGCCCCCAGCAGAGCCCAACGGCATCATCACTGGGTATTCATTGGTGGTGCAAGGGCAAGAAGGCTCCACCTCCAGCAGCACCTCCAACAGCACCATGACGCTCACTGGGCTGATGCCCTTCTCTCCCTACAACGTGTCCCTCGCAGCGGTCACCCGCCGGGGCACGGGGCCCATCCTCACTCTGCTTCTCCACACCGATGAAACTGGTATGGCGCCATGGCTGCTCTCAGACCTCTGAATTATCACCACGTCTTGCTTTAAATCCTGCTACCCAGCAGTCCTTCTCTGACAGGAAGGATTACCAGCACCAGAGAAGGTGGGGCTTCATGGGGCAGCTCCCAGAAGCATCGTGCAGATGTCATTCCAGGGGGATTTAGAACATAACTAATACAGGAAAACACAGAAAGCCATAACCTGAGCATTCAAAGTTCAGATTTACGGAATTATGGACAGATGCCCTGGGAGATCCCACTACCACGGAGAAATAGCTGACTGTCCTGTCATCCGCGCAGTAATAGTTCAAATTATAAAACAGTATATTTAAAAGTGACTTTCAGGACATTCATAGTCACCTCACAAAGAACAAAAACAACAACAAACACAATGACACCAATAAATTCAGGCATGGACTCAAAGTGAACATACAGTACCGGCCTAAAAAGATGAATGTTAATGGCAGTTTAACATAAGTGTTTGTGTGTTTAACATGGAGTCCAGTTGATGGATGTAAGGGGAAGGAGAGATCGGGGGCAGTCTGGGAAAAGGCTGAGGCAGCCGTGAGGCGCTTAATGTCCGGGACAGAAGGTGGACAGTCTTGCGTGGGGGTCACAGAGTGCTTGCTTTCCGGCAGGCCCCGCCTCCCCGCCCAGGAACCTGAGTATCCTGAACCACACGGCAGATTCTGTGTGGCTGGCCTGGGAGCCCAGCCCTGACCCCAACGGCATGGTCCAGTTCTATGGCTTTAAGATCATGGAGCTCAACAGGCATATTTATACATACTGGGTAATTCTTCCTGCAGCGACAATCTATGGCAGGGGTGTCAAACTGCAGTCCTGGGGGGCCGGAGCCCTGTGTAGCTTAGTTCTTTCCCTGTTCCACCACAAATGATTCACCTCAACAGCTATGTGGTAATTAGCACAAGAAGTTGAATCAGGTGTGTTAAACGAAGGGAAACCCAAAAATGTGCAGGGCTCCGGCCCCCCAGGACTGGAGTCTGACACCTGTGATCTATGGTGTGGAAAGTTGATTGTCATTATGGTGGCAGGCAGATCTGAAATTTTGGGGTGGATGGTATGGTTTTAATGTGTATGCATGTGGTCTAAGTGTCAATAGAGCAGGGGTCACCAACTCCGGTCCTGGAGGGCAACTATCCAGTAGGTTTTCTATCCTACCTGGCTTCTGATGAGCCACACCTGTTCTCAGGTAAATACCAGGGCCAGGTGTGGCTCATCAGAAGCCAGGTAGGACAGAAGACTTACTGGATAGTAGTCCTCCAGGACCGGAGTTGGTGACCCCTGCAATAGAGTCACTGAAGGTAATTCATAATTTAGGCATCATTTAGTTAATTAAAAATCAATGATTAGTCATGTATTATATGATTGAATTGTTAATCAGACTTTTCAGTGAAAGTTGTCTGCTTCGGTTCCCAGAATTCATCTGGGCCAGCCACTCGAGCCCATCTGACGGGATTCCGACCTCACAGCACGTACCAGATCAGCGTGTGCACCTTCACCAGGGTGGGGAACGGCGATCAATACAGCGGGCCCGTCACGTTTAAAACCAACGAGTCAGGTACGCAGCGGCCTAGGAGATTAGCAAAAAATTAAGAATGGCACGAGCTCAGAAAAATGGCACCAGACTGTCAACATACAGGAGTATATCGTCATATGCACAGTAAACAGTTACTCTAGGCAATGAAAGTCTTACTCTGCATGTCCGGAGAGCACAAATGAAACACAAAACATATTGAGAGTACAAATTAAGATGCTTACAGTAAGACAATAAATATGGGTACAATGACAACAATAAAAATTTAAACAAAAGGCGCTGTAACGTGACATATCTCCGTAGCTATGGCTGTGGCCTGATGTCTCCATTGATATTTGAAGAGGGCACAGATTTTACAGTGTCCCTCCTCACCCTCTGGTGCAGTGTCAGGTCCTGTCGGGAACCTCTCCTGTTCCGGCTTGAAGTGGGACTCCGTGCTCCTGCAGTGGGAGCTGCCAGTCGACCCTAATGGAGAGATCACTCACTACCGGATCCAGTTCTCGGAGCAGGAGCAGGAGCTGAATGCCTCCGTGAACCATCACAGCATCGGGGGCCTGCTGGCTGACTCCCAGCACACCTTCAGCGTGACGGCGGTCAACTCAGTCGGGCCTGGAGAACACGCGATATGCACTACCAGTACGCCACCTGAAAAAGGTACTGCCATTCCTCTGTTATTTATTCCGCTTCTAACACTTCCTCATTTTGTCATTTCCAGTTACTAAATTTCTACCCGTAAAGGAAAGGAACAAATGATTGACTTGATGACGGTGACTGCGATCAAAATTTCACACGGTTTCTGCCAAGCTAAATAATTCAGCATCCTTTTACAAGTTTATTATTATGACCTTCCCACCCAACCTCTCCGAAATGTCCAGCAGCTATGACCATTTGCTTTATCTCATTCTTGTGCTATGCACATCTATTTTGTACATTTTGACTTTGTTTATATCTACAACATGATAGATCTTTAAAATGCACGTTTTCTCTTGCTGATCAAAGGCTTTGACTTTATAGATTACAATATATTCTTTGCCTCTATTCATTTTTACATGAATATCATATTATATCGGCTTGTGATAGACTGGCATCCTGTTTGGGGTTTATAAGCCCTTGTCATGTGCCCTGTAGTTCCTGGGAGATGCTGCACTGGTTAAGCGGCTATGAATTCTGTGCCTGCTTGTCCTGTGCAGGGTCATGCGGCTCTGGAGCCTATCCTGGCAGCTACAGGGTCAAGGCAGGGAATAACCTAGGATGGAGGGCCAGCCAATCACAGGGCACATTCACCCCTATGGGCATTTTGCTAACCCCAATTAACCTCAGCATGTTTTTGGGCTATGGGGGGGGGGGACCAGAGTACTTGGATGATACCCCATGATGACACAGGGAGAACGTGCAAACTCTACACACATGGAACCACAGCAGACACTCAAACCCTGGTTGGCAGCAGTGCTAAGCACCGTGCCACCATGCCGCCCCTTGAATGATATTACATTAGTAATTTTTTTAGGGGGGAACTTGAAAATATAAGTGGTTAAGAAATCGATTTACCTTAAATAATGTGCACCAAAATATATATACTATATCAATGTCTATATATTATTTCATAACATGTGTATGTCTTAGTATATGTATGGTGTTTGTTTTTTGAGTAAATGTTTAAAAAATATGTCACTGAAAATATCTTAACAGGTCGCTTCTTTGCTTTACTTTAGGGAATCTTTAAGTCAGCTGTTACATATGAGATTTTCTTTTAATTTAATGGCTACCTGTTTAGTTTGAGTTAAATTCGCATCCTCTCACCACACTCGCAAAACAACTCATGGCAAATTCAAGGAGCCGATGGCCCTGAATTCGCAAATCATGCACTGGGAATGGAAGTGGGGAAATGGAAATGGCCTCGTCTGCTCTTACACCGGCTCCTGATGTCTCTCTCGCTTTTTTGCTTTGACTTCCCAAATTGGTCTTTCACGCCTGGTGGAACGCTGAATGGGAAGAACATCACAGTGCTGATTGATTCTGTTAAAGTGTTTGTTCCGCCTTTCCGATAGTCGCCGCCGTGTATCGGCTGGAAAACCTGAAGGATAGTGGTCATACTTAATGAGCCCACATTGTTAGTCACACTGTCCCAGCCAGCATTGACTCATTCCTAATGTATTTATTCTAAACTTAAAACTAAAAATGAATTAGTCTCACTCTTCAGACTGCTGAGCTTTTATTTTCCACAAAATCTTTTTTTCTGGGGGAAAAATACATTGGACTCGCTGTGGCTTTTGGATCCAGTAGAGAGATTATGTGAAATGAAATAGGTCAGGCTGTTTTCACAAGAGGGTAAGCTTCTGACACCTGAACCGACCCCGAGGTCACGTGGCGCCCCCTCACACGGCCGGGGCTCCCCATTGTGTGACGACAAGGCCGAGACCTCCTAAGGCCCTTCGGAGTTTGGGGGCACGGGGGCACGGCTTCCCATCCTGAAGGTTAAGATGTAGTGATGGGCCACGTCCAGATATGAGAGCCGCCCAAAGATATGTGGAGAGCAAAAGTGCACTGCCACCATTGCAAAGGCACCTTCAGTAAATCACTCTGGGTGCAAATGACGAATGTGCAACGGCCATCACAATAAACGCAGATGAAATGTGCTCAAAGGAAAGGTCATTCCTTTAAATAACTATGGCCTTGACTAGGACGTCAAGTGTGTAATCAAATGTTTTGCCATTTGGAAATATGACTATTTTCAGTAAAATAAATAAAATGATTGCTTAAGCCTATGAAGAAGAGAATAAAATGCCAAATTATGGTGTCTTACAGCATAGAGAGTTTCAAAAGATGGATAAAATGTATTACAGGAAATAATGCATTTCATATTTTAGTTGAAAGCTGTAAAACAATTAATAGTCCGTTTGTAAGAATTGTTGTAATTGTAGAGCTCTGGCTTTTGCATTGTGCCGTTAAATTGCTATGTAAGCTTCTCCATGAATCACTGTATTATTGCAGTGGTTTAAAATAAAAATCATAGCAATTCCAAAAATGCTCTGAGCCAGTTCAACATCTACAGGCTCTATACTGAGCTATCCGGGTTTACTGTGTCATGTCTGGCTTCACAGAGCTTCTCACCACAGTGATTCTCTGCTTCCTTCCAGTTTATTCCAGTTTTGTATTTCCCTCCCTCCCAGCGTGGTGGAGCTGTTGCACAGAACGGTCTGGGTTGGATCAGGGAATATTACGAAATATTCATTTGCACCGGATTGGCAGCACTGCCAGCAAGTCCTAGCATTTTTCAGAGATGTATTTGTCTGTTTTCAGAAACCTGTTTGCACGTTGTCAACGTCGTGATTCAAGGCCAGGCAACAGGTGCAACTCGTGAAAAAAATCCATAGCGATGACATCCATTAGGAACATAGCGTGAAGCCACACACAGAGTGTCATGAACCTTTTACGAGATCCTGCGCGTTTAGATAGGTGGTCTCACGCTAAAAAGGTGCCGAATGAAGTATCTATCAGCATTTTTCTGCCAGTCGTGTGTGGGCCCTTTCATGCTAATTCTCAACAAATTCATTTCAAATGTGCTAACAGTGTTCTGATGTATTTAGGTATCATATACCAATAAGCAAATCGTAAAGCTAGCTACTGATAAATAGTTCTTCTTTGTTTTGAGTGACGCAGGGTTGCCAGCTGATGGGGGTGAGCTGGCAGGAGTGAGATTTTCAATTCGACACAAGTCTGCACACACATGCACACACATGCACACACATGCACACACATGCACATGCCGTTACATGTACAGCAGTGGAAAAATTTAAGACTCCACTCTATATTTTTAAACAAACCTTAAACAAAATTAATTGTGGTTCTGCTGGCTGAAGGCTACGCTGAGCAACAAGATGCTTTCAGGTTAAAAATTTCTCAGACAGCAGTACACAAAAATAAGGTGAAGCAGGAGACACTGGGAACAACCAGAAACCAGCCAGGTAAAAGGCGGAAGCGACATTCTAATGCCAGAGATGACTGTTACCTTATCCGACATTTTCTCATGATTCGAAAGATGACATCAAGGGAACTTCAAAAGGAATGGGAAACATTAAGTGCAGGTGTGAAGTGCACTGCTAGGGCAGTTTGAATCAGGCTCCTAGAAGTAGGACTGAGGTCCCATAAAGCAAGGAAGAAGCTCTTCATTAATGAGAAATAGGGAAGAACCAGACTACAGTTTGCAGAAAAATATATATTATTCACAGACGCACACCCATAAATTGAGAAATGAGTGAAAGAAAAAATTGTGCTGTGCTCTATGAATTATTTCCACGGCTGTATTGTAACAGTTTTATTATCCTGTAAATAGTCTGTAGGGTTTTGCAAACTATCCTAACACTTGATGTAGCTAACTTTTGGTTTATCATGGAATAATGTAGATTTGCCATAAGATTTCTTGTGTGAGAGTCTGAAAGCATGAATGTCACACCAGATGCGTGACAATTGGCAGCCCTGGTGACATTATCGCTCAGTGGACAGTAATGTTGCCTAATGTCTCCAGCAATGGAGGTTCTAATCCCAGTCTTGCTTTGACTAATGTTCTCCCTGTAGTATGTTGGACATTACCAGGTACTCTGGTTTTCTCTTACAGTCTAAAGACCTGCATTTGGGTTAACTGGTTTCTTGAAATTTCCCATAGCACATGACTGTGCATATGTGCGTGTGCCCTGTGATAGACTGGCATCCCATCTAGGACCTACCTTGTGCCCTATACTCACTTTGGATAGGCTCCAGCTCCCCCCCATGACGAGGATAATGGATTGAGAAATGGACAGATCAATTGAACACTTTTGAATCTCTATGTCCTTCTTCACCTCCAGTCCCAGGACCTCCAAGACTCCTAAATGTAACTGAAGTCCAGGCAACCGAGGTGTCTCTAAGCTGGTTTCCTCCAGAGGAGGTTCTGGGGTACTTGAGGGAGTACCTCATCGTGGTCCAGCTACTATCCCAAAGCTGCCAGGATTGGACCTCTCCTGGCTGCCTGGAGAGCCAGAACGAGGAGCACATCAGCGGGACAAGAAGTATCCTACAGTACACCCTCAAGTCCCTCTTCAAATACAGGAGTTACAGGTTCAGGGTGTCGGCCTGCACCAACGCGGGCTACGGCAACGCCTCAGACTGGGTGTATGCAAGGACCCTAGCGGGCGGTACGCTGAACATTCTGAATTTTGGTAGTTTTGTAGCTTCTGCTCTATTGTTGGCTCAGTAAGGCAACACAAGTCATTCTAGTTGTTATCTTTTAGGACAGCAGACGAGCATTTGTCTTTCATTCCGCACCAGAACCATCTCTTTTTCTCCCTTTTCTTTTTCTTGTTCAATTGATTTTCTGAAATAGATTTCTATCAATTGTTTATTTTTGTAGGTCATTTTCATTTTGGCTTTGAAATGCAAGGGAAAAAAAGTGTTTATCTACTGATAAAAGATGAAAAAGGTTTCCCCTTGGTAGGCATGCGAAGATAATAAAGTAATATTTTGATGGATATTATAAACACCATCAGAGCTTTTCTCCAGCTAGGCCCCAAAGCCCGGAAGGTGGCCCGTCTTGTCGTTAGGCGTGTTGCCCATCACGTCATGCCCCAGGGCTTGGCCCGAGGGCAGCGGGCAGGTCGGAGCCAATACCTGACATGTGTAATTAAACAGAGGACAGGCTGGCGAAAAATGGGCGTGACGCAGCCGGCATGAGATAACTCGACACCCCCATGGTCCCCTTTCGGTGAGGTGGTTACTTACCAGCAGGAATGGCAGGCGTGACCAGCCTCGTTAAGGCCACTGAGGGAGGGGGAGGGGCAGGTAGAGGTTGGTAGGGTTGGCGTGTTGGGAACGGGTAATGGCTTCTCCAGATACTTAGCTACCTCCTAGCCTCTAGTGCCCCCCCAGCGAGCACCAGGGCCCCAGCGTCCGGGGTCTGCGGCCAGGGAGGGGAAGACAACCCCCCACCCTGGGAGAGGCTGCATTCCTGAGGAAAGGGGACAGGAGCGTGACAATCGGGAAATGACGGTTATTAGTTACAGAAAATGCATTATTTTGGAGCGCCAGCCAGGGGAACCACGGGGAGGAAGTGTTCGGATTATGTGGGGATGGTGGAATGAGGACTGGCAGCTCCCCCCCCCCCCAGTAAATTGACCAGATTTATAAGGCTGCAGGGCATACTGATACCGCATCGCCATACCGGGGCCTGACAGCTCCTGATTTAAAAATAATCCTAAATCAGTGCCTGACAGGTGTCAATGGAGCTCGCAGAGTTCAGCAATAAAGTTCATTTGCTGCAGAAACGATAGGTCAGCTTTTTTACTGTCTGTGCTCATCTGTCGCATCTCAGGGTGCCTCTCTCTTACACATCGATCCCTTTCTCAAGATGTGTCTGGATCCATCTGCTCAAAAACTATGGAATGGTTCTGGAGAGTTCCTTCCCCATCCTTCGGAAACGAAACTCTAAACAAAATCTTTTTGAAAAAACTGAACGCAAACTATATCACGTCAGGACAGTCCATTGTTTAAAACGACAGGTTACGGGACCCAGATGAAAAGTATATTGTTCTCGAGATGTAATGAGTCAACCGAACAATGATATTTTTGTTTGTTTCATTATTTTTTGTTTCTGTTCCCAGACCCTGATGCCCCTCCCCGTGCCGTGTCTGTGTTGCCCGCCTCCAACAGCCTCAACATCCAATGGAAGGCCCCGGAGGTGCTGTCAGGCCCCACCTCCTATCTCGTTGATGTCGTCCCAGTGAGTCGGCCCACCGCTCTCCCCTGGGAAAGCCAGAGAAAGCGGCGTGAGCTCAGTTTAGAAACAACTTGATATTCACCGAGTATTAAAGTGACCCTCCACCTTATCAAAGCATCCCTGGAGTAGAACCAAGCTTCTCCCTTTGCTGAAATGAGGTTACAGCATGTTGTATTACGATCAAATTCTTGCTGGTACGTTGATGAAAATGGCCAGCAGGTGAACTGATTTATCTTTTAGCGACTCAAATAATTTGTCTGTATGGTCTGGTTGCATATTCAGCAATTCAGGGTTTGTACTGTCAAAGAACTACAGCAGCAACCCCCCCAGGACTCAAAATGGTAAGCAGTGAACTAGCAGCTGATGAAATAACCTCATCAATGTTGTCACGTTAAGCTGACCCCCTGCTTCTGCTGGAAGAGTTCTACTCTGCTGGAAACCCTTGTTCTTGCTTGAGGAAGGTATACCGTAGCTTTGAAGCTTCTGGGGCCAGAAGAAATTTCTGCCTCCGGCCTCAAGCACACAGCCTGATCATGGGATTCTCACGCCTCCGGATGGGATCAGGGCCAATATGTCTTCGTTCTCCAGCTACCCATCTTCCTGGGAGCCCTTTGACCTCGCCAGGCACAAAACAAGCCCTCGTTTCCTCTCAGCTGGCCGCAGACTTCCGCAGCGGCTATCAACAGGGAGAGCGGGCCATAAGTCTTCCATCAGAGGAGGCCTCGATCTGGCATGCACGCCCCCTACCACAACACCCTCCGCGCCGTGGGACCTGCCGCGGGGCCCTGGAAGGGCTCTCTGGGTATTTGATGGTCAGGAGAGGAAATCGGAGTTGTCGACCACGGACCCTGGGAGGTGCACATCTGTCAGGCAGGGGGGGCGTGTAACAGCGTTACACATGGGCCCTCACATTTCCCCGCTCCACTGCAGCTGGGCCCAATACGGGCCGTTCTCCACTGGGAAAACTACTGTGCTAGCTACCAGGAATCAGCCCAAGAAACACTTGTCACTGTCCTACCTCAGGCCAGAGAGAAAATCCAACCCCAGGGAACATCTCCGTGTGAAAGGGCCAAACTCGGTGTTACGTTATGGAACTCTGTGTCTTGTTTATGTTCACTGGAAGAGATTAGCTGGGAAGTGTGGAGTTTAGTAATACAATAGCAACAGCTGTCCATTCCGTCTGAGAGAACTGAATTCTGTGTTTAGTAAATTATTCTGTTTCTATGGGTTACTCGGACTGCACGGGTGAGAATACCTGCTTGATAATCCCAAAACGCAATGGTGGGTTTGTCTGTAATCACAAAGTACTGCTGCTGCTTTCTCCTGACCTGGCCCATCCCATTTCACCGGCGCTCTAGCTCGACGGCCTGGGCACCAACCTGACGGTGGTGCGAAGACCCGGGGAGATTCGGGCGGTGGTAGTGTCCAACCTCACGGCCTTCACCCGCTATGCTGTGACTGTGACGGCCTTCACAGGGGACGTGAGGGATGCCAGAATGAATGGCAAAGCCAGTGAAGCGGTGCACGTCAGGACGCTAGAGAATGGTGAGCACTGAGCATGCTCTAAAGAGGCCACACCCACTCTGAAAGATGGCAGGGTGTTAAAACAACATTTTGATGTTGATGTTTTGAGTCTAGAGTGCAGTAATAGTAAAGAGTACATAGCGCAGTAACAGTAGTATAGTGCCTTCACGCCTTCAAGTACAAAAAAATATTATTTTTTTTTAACCACGCTCATTTCCCAATGAAAATGGTCCTGCGACCCACTTTTAGGTTGCGACCAACCAGTTCAGAAACAGTGATGTATAGTATGCATTTAAACTATATGCAAAAGGTGCGGTGTGTAATTGAAGGAAAGAGAGGCTTATCTGTAGACAGTGGGAATGCAGGATTGTTTCACACACTGTAACATTTTTTTCCCAGAACCGAAAGATCCTCCCAAAAACATCACCCTGCACCTGATTCCAGAGGAGGTGACCAGGGTCCGAGTGACATTTTCTCCACCTGACGTTCCCAATGGCAGAATCATCGGCTACAGTGCCATGGTCTACACGGGAGACGAGCTGGCCTTCCATATCCAGCAGCTCCCGGTCCATCAGTATGAAAACGGGACCATTGCTGCCATCATAGATGGACTCAAGGGCGGCTACAGCTACCACATTCAGGTGTGTGATTCCGCTCACATGTGACGCCCGTATTACAAGCCAGCTGCACTCACAGGAATACGAGAGTGCCAAAGACACAGTAGAAGGTCAGGTTAGATGCCTGGTTTGGTTGGCCTGCTTATCTGGAAAATTACTTGCTTGACGAATCCGTTCTGTTCTCTAGTGCAGCTTCAGGTCCAAATTTCTTAGCCAAAAGCACAACAACTGGAACCAACTATCAACACGTCAGCTGATAAATCCAGCTTAGCCGCCTTCATTACATTCCTCTGTTTCGTGATTAATTATGGTAATGATGGTTAATTAGTATTGACTCTGAACCCAGTCATGGGGGATCCCCAGCCGGTCCACATTGTTGCCCCCTCCCAGCACTCATAAACCAAAACGATCAAGAACACTGAATACCTGCTACTGGTGTGTTGGGAGCTGAGAGGGAAGAAAAATGAGGACTGCGCTGAGAAACATTGATTTAGAATAATGTATGGATGTGTTATATCGTTCTCCAGATTTCTGCCATCAACAGGGCTGGCACAGGACCCAGTTCGGAGGTGAAAGTCACAACAGGAATTCAGCGTAAGTGCTGGCATGTTTTAGATCTGCTTTAGTTCTGCAGACTTTGCTGGTACTTAATTCCTTGAGACAGAGACACTGATGGTTGTAGTCAAATGTGTGGCTACACTCACTGTGTTCCAGCTCCTCCCAAGCCCAATAAGAGACCCCTGCCTGCTCTGACCCCAAGTGGAGCTATCATGGTCACCACCAGAACCATCACTATCCAGATGCCCATTTGCTTCTTCTCTGATGCCCACGGGCCCATCCAGAAAGTGCAAGTCATCGTCGCAGAAAATGGAGGTATTTCTCCAAGCATGTCCACGTTCCCTGAGGTGGAAATTTCAGTTGCAGAAAGTAAAAATGTTACCTGTGGTGGGTTGGAGTTATTCCACGACCCTGTATAGGACAAGTGGTATAGAAAACTAATGAATAAGGTCATTGAATGTCCATACTGTACAGAATATATAATGTGCATAATAAGACTACTTTACTGAGATCTAGACTCCTGCTTCAACTTAATTAATACATAACTGTGTTTTGAAACATGTATCTGATAGATACTGTGATTACAGTGAAAAGCACTTCATGTCCCTGGTCCATCACAGTACAGTGACGTGAGATCAGTATTTATTGGACCCTGGTATCGAGAACACCGGCTGAACGTCGCTGGGTTTCTCTGCTCCGTTACTTTCCAGTGATGAATGAGCACAACGTGACCAACTGGAAGAATGCCTTCTACTACAAGCCTGCGCCGTACATCACCGATGAAGGCTTTCTGAACCCCAACTGCCATGACATCATGAGCAGAAATGCTGCACAGGAAGACACGTATGTGATTGGGAAGGAGGACGGCTGTGCCTCTCCTGAGAAGGACCAGGCCTTCTGCAACGGGCCTCTAAAGCCAAGGACACATTATGTGTAAGACCAGATTTACCCATAGATAATGTCCACTGTTCAACTGCACTATGATCAATTTCATTTACGCTTATTTACTGTTTACTCCTTCGATTCCAGGTTTAAATTCCGCGCAACAAACATGAAAGGACAATATACTGATTCTGAATACTCTGATCGTATAAAAACCTCAGGTAAAGAAACTCTTGTTTGTGAAATAAAATCATTAAAATGAAATGGGTTGCGCAGGGATTCCGTCCCAAACCCCCCCAGAGATGTTTATGGTCTTTGAATTTCCTGGCCCTTCTTATCCTTTTCACTGCAGCTCCTGGCTTCATTCTGTTTTTGTCAGTTTCCTGGATGCTCCCATTTAGGTTTCATTCTAAAATCAAGGCCATCCGGTCTTCCCCGGGTGTATTCCTTAGCTGGATGCTTTTTAAAATCTCATCGTGTGGAAGATGCTACTTTATTATACATTTATTTGTTTGGCAGGATTTTTTATCCTAAGTAATGTACAAGTGAGGATCAGAGAGCAGCTCCATGTAACGCCCCTGGAGCAATTGGGATTAAGGGCCTTGCTCAAGGGCCCAATGGTGATATCACTCTGTCAGCCATGGGATTTGAACTGGTGACCTTCCGGTCATGGACACAGAGTCCTAAGGTGCAGAGTGTTCCGGAGCTGAGTGTTGCCACCAGAGGTACTGCTAGATGTTTTGGGCCCCATGAAAGCTTGTCCTATTGGGTCCTCAACCAGACCAATCCAAATTATGTTCTGAATTTCTCCTGTCATTTGGAATTGTGCTAACCTCCCCCCTCTTTTCGGCACCCCTGCTTGCCATTTGTCATCCAGGGTGGAGGCTTTAACACCTTGAAGACGTGGAAAGTACCATGTAAATTACATAGATGCGCACGCATATTCGCCTGTGTGTACATACCGCAGTTCCTTTCATCCAAACTAACATGAGTGAATTTCTTTAATGTACCAAATACCTTTTCCTGAATCAGGTTTCTCAGTTTTGAGATATGAACAGAGTGTGGAATCCCCTCCTTGCCCACAAACACCTGTAGCAGAACTTTGTGCTGGTGACAAATGACAAGTTAGGCACATGAACTTGCATATTATCTTGAAAAGTCAAGATATGCACGGATGAGCCATTGTTAAAGAATAAGATTTGAGTTATTGCGTCTAATTTATAATCTCACCAGTTACGCCGTTTGTCAAGGAACCAGCTGCTGTTCCTTTCAGTTCAAGAGAAAGTCTCCATAAAATAAATATGAGGCACTATGAAGTCAGCCCACTGTAGGGTGCCCCTGTGCAGCCTGGGATATTTGCTCAGTCACCGTGACGCTGTCCTGGATTAGCAGCTCTGAGATGGATGAGTGGACCGCATGAAGTCACATTTTTGGGCTCGTGCCCTTTTGCATACAGCACATCTTCTCCCTTGGTTACAGAAGGTCATTCTTCTCAATTTCCAGATGACCAGTTGCTGACTCGAGATGAGGAGATCATCTTGGGAGTGCTCTTATCCCTCCTCCTCGTCTTCTTCCTCATAGTGATCATCTACGCTTTTGTAAGGTAAGGTGACCCCCCCATGCTGGAAACATTTATTACATAACCCAGTCCCCCATGACAAAGCGCACAGCAATGTTTATGGACGATGTAGCGCACAGTCACTAACCCTAATTATCCCACAGAAGACCCAAACCACTGACCTGCCTCTCCGGTCCGTGGTCGACTGCTAACTGCCCAAGAATATGTTGCCACAGTTACATTTTATTTATTTAGGGGGATGCATATTGCCAAAGCCACATACATTTTTTGAGTAAATGCATTATTTAGTTGGATTTCATTTCAATATAGTAATTCTCATGAGTCCTAATGTGAAACTCTCTGAGTGTCTAAAGTAATGTGCTGTGTAACTGATCTAAGCACACATTCACATCCCTTCATATAATCCCTGAGGTTATCGCAGATGCTGACCTGTTCAGATGTAACCCTCCAACCTGTCAATGATGCATCCTGTTTCACATTCATTTAATTGTACCATACCTGTTTAAAATAATTGTGTTATATCGGTATGGAGTCTGTTTACATTTATTTGTCTGCAATTTGGGCATCTGAGTGTCTCTCATTCGTCTTCCTTCTAATCCCAGAATCCACCAAAAGCAAAAGGAGGGTGGTACTTACTCCCCGCGGGACGCGGAGATCATTGACACCAAGCTGAAGCTGGACCAGCTGATTGCAGTGGCGGACCTGGAGCTGAAGGAGGAGAAGCTGAACCGGTGAGCGGGTCGCGTGCACCCGAGCCGACCCCGCCGTGACCCCATTTGTTTACACAGGTTGCTGTGCTCTCCTTTCAAAGGTGACCTCCCTGTGCTCCAGGTCGCTCTTGCGGCTTGAGCGCAAAGCCCGCCGCTGAGAGAGAGCAGTGCGAGCACTAAGCTTGGGGGCTTTACTGCCTCTGTTATGCTAAAATCTCATTTCATTCCAGGTCCTTGAAATAATTCTGGGTGTTCCTATACATCGGTGCAAAATATAAATAAATACAGGCAGTTCACGACTGGCTTAAGTAATCCATCGCTATGCGTCCGTCGTATTTGCCTTCTCATTCCCTTCAAGACGCTTTATAGCAAAATTCATATAAGCCAAAAATATACTAGTAATACGTGTAAATATAATCACAGATTTTTTGCATTAGCAATTCCATAAGCTCTATGTGTCTGGTATATTTTTGCACATGTCTGGGTTTACTTGCGCCGCTTTTACGCAAATCAAGAGCCATGTATGCCTTATACTTACTATGGCTTGAAAAAAGAGAATACTACATTCAATTTTAAAAGTAAGGATTTTAAATATTAAATGCTTGATATACTTTTTTGTCCAGATATCTGGTCGCATAGCATTTTATTGGGGCTGTTTTTACAGTTTCACGGGTGCGATTTCACTTTCGCGCGCTTAATTCATGTAGAACCTTCTGGTTAGGGGTGAGCGTGTTCCCAAGGTAACCCGGTATGTGTTCACGTGGAAAAGGCAGTGCTGTAGCCAACCCCGGGGGGGGGGCTGTGGCCAGCAGCAGGGACACCACTGACCACCCAGCAGGAGGCTACAGCTGTAACTCTATGACGCATTAGCTGCTGTGACGCCTCGTAAACCTATTGTCCCGCTACGATTTGATTTGTCACTTGTGAGTGATGGTACAGACTGTGGCCTCTGCCCATGTCATACCTGGCAAAGGCTCATTTGGGAAAAACAAGGAGACTAGAGACATATCTCCAGCCATTAAGACACAAAACAGCACGAGAAGCACATGCTGAGCGTCGGTGCATCGCTTGTAGCTTTGATGCCACAGAGGCGAACACTGGCAGGTATGTTTGCTGAGGTCCTCATTAGTCGCCTGCGGCAATGGAGATGACCTTCCTCTTCGAAAGGGACTCCTGTCTGAAGGGCAGAGAGTTGATTCAGAGCAATTATTTTAGCTTTTCTGGAGTCAGTTAGGCTTTTGATTTTGTTTCTATACCTTAGGTGTATAATTCATCTCAGATTTTAATTTGAGGCGTTCATATTTAATTTAAAAGTATATACCAGAACTTCTGCCAAACAGGTTATAGGCTTTCGGTTATAATTTGACACATTTACTGATATACATTTTGTTTTAGGGTCCATTTTATTAACGTATTTCATTTATAACATTTAAATTCATTAGCTATATTTCTTATTAGTTGGAATGCAATTTATTTTATCAATAGAAACCAATACCATACTGCTGGCTTGGAACAGAATTATGAGGAAGGGTGACCTCAGCATCTTCTTTATGTTTTATTAAAAAGTAGGTCTCAGAATCACTGTACTTTTAAACTCACGAGAAAACAATCTAAATAATCTGGCTAAATCTTTACGTAGTTTCCTGTAGCACTGTTTTCTAGCTCGACAGTGTAGTCAAGGTTCTGTTTCTATGGTTACCCCTGGCGTTACCATGCCGCCCGCCTCTCCTCACGCTGCAGCCAGCCCAGTGTGATGCGTTTCCAGAGCGCGGAATCGGGTTCCACCGCAGAGATGTGTGGAACATGTGGGATCAAGCGTCCAAACGGGGGTGATATATGAGCCATCTGGGGAGCTGAAGCGTATAAATGGCAAGCCCATAATGCTGGGAACCTGGCGGGGCCCTTCTCAAGTGCCCAAGACTTGGTGCCCCGGGCCCTCGTGACACTCCATCACTTAAGGCGAGGACCGTGAAACCAGCACTGGAAAGGCGGGCCCTCGCCCTCAACGAGCCCCTCACCGAGAAAGAACGAGCAACATCTTGCCAATATTTTGTTACGAGCCAGAAAAACAACCACGGGGTGTTAACCAAAGGCGCCGCGATGGTGCTGATATCGCTGGCCAGCCGGACACAGCGAGCAGAGCAGTCTGTCAGGCTCGAGGTCGATTGTTAGCTAGCTTGTTTTCTTTTTTTGTAAACAGCTTTGCAATGGGTCAGCTGAAGCCCATGCCAGAATGTTCCACAGGACGTTGGCTTAATCTTCAGCGCTGTTGTTATAAACTATGGATGGCGGGAGGTGAAAACACAGGCAGGAGAGGTGCTGTGTTCCTTCGATCTTCGATGGCCTTGCCCTGGCCGCAGAGGGGCCTTGGGTCTGCGAGGGGGAGTGTTAGCATTGCAGGTTAGCATTTGTTCCCTAGAGGCTAAGGACGGCCCACAAGGAGGCTAGCCTGTGTGGACAAATCAAAAAGTACCAAACAGTGAACCTGACACACACATTTATAACCTGTTTGCTGTTTTAAGAGTACAATTTTGTGCACAGTTCATGCACTCTGTGTGGTGAATAGGTTTTGCATTATTTTGATAAGTCAAGGTCAGGATTTGGTTTGCCCCCTACCCCCACTGCAAGAGGTTGATGTCTGGTGTTGGTTTACAGCGACACCTCTTCACCCCCCCACCCCTGCTACTTGTGTGGCACTTTGCTTGTCCACCTGTGACAGGCTGCTCTGTGATCGGGAGCCCTGGTGATTCACGGAGGTGTGCCAGCTCACTAGCCCATGCCTATCATTGTTAAACAGTGTGAAAAGGCAAACTGACGACGGTTCACCCAAATGCCTTCCAAGCCACCATATTACCTGGTCTCAGGGACCCATTTCTCTGGTCTGAAACCAGGACCAGCATAGGGAGGTTATTAAATACCCTGCACTTGCTTTCTGGAATGTTCCGGATGTTTGTTTATATCCAGTTACTTGCTAGGTTGAGATTTGAACATCCATAAAGACGGGAATGTCGCGTTCAGTCTATCACTGAAGGTTGAGCTGATTCTAGCGGCAGCAATTTATAGCCTATGTCTTTCATACACAAAAATAAACATTTTCAAGGGTATCTGCGATTCATGGTGTCAGTTAAGCCCTCATGAGTTGCTGCCTTGTCAGCCTTCCTCGGTGTTGTATATCATCCTGGTTCCTGCACCCGGACTGCGCTCAGCATCAGGAACTGTGTCCATTCTCTGAATGTTTCTCTGGGCTCGGTTCCACTCCATTGACTCCAAAAACTTCATCTTCATCCTCCCCACTCACTCACCTCCCCGTCTCTTTGCCCCCAGGTACTCCTCGTTTTTCTTCAGACGGAAGGAGATATTTGTCATCCAGTAAGTTGTCACTGTATAACCTGTGTCGTGCCGTGTGTGTTTGGTGTCTGGACTCTTAAATGCTATCCAGCCCGTGTTCTCTGCCCCGATGTTTGTCTGGGGATGTGAGAAACTAATGACTGTCCTCGACTTCCTCACCTTGATGTTTTGAATCAGTGGCTAGATTTAGTCGGCCGTGTAGGTTTGTGCAAAGCAATTTGCCTGCGTTTTTGAATTGTGCCAAACGTTCTGCATCTTAACAAGTCTTAAACTCAGATGAGAACTCTGATCAAAGCCATGTTGAAAATCCTGGGTGTAAATAGATACACAGATATACAAATAGATATAAATAGGTATAGATATACAGTAGATAGATATAGATATAGATATAGATATAGATATAGATATAGAGTATATAGATATACAGTCAGTCTAAGTCATCAGGGCAGAACCCCAGCTTACTGGATGTGGATAATAATGGAGACACCAGGAGGAAGTCATATATTAGGAAGTGGAGTCAACAGGTGGCTATGGTTGTATAAGTACGACATGGAAGAGAGTCAGCAAAGTTCCCTCAAAGCATGTTTTCAGCTAAAATGATTCCACAGGGAAATTCATACATCGACAAAGGCTTGACAAGACCAGAACTCACATGCGTTCAAGTTATTATTACTGGGAGCTACAGAAGTATTGGTCTTTACCCCTTTCAAGTCAGGTGTGGAATGTGGATGGGCACCTTATTATCTTTAAATAAGTAAGGAAGTGCTGTGCCCAGAAGCAGAGTGTGATGGCACATTGATGGCGGATGCCGCAGTATAGTGCAGAGACTTAGCCGGCTAAGAAAAACCACACAGGTGAAGCTCTCCAGGAAAATGCAGCTCACATCACTGAAAAAAATACGAAGACGCCTGTGCCCTGTTGGGGTGAGGCACTGCAGGCTATCGGGTGCCTCAGGCGGCTGCCAGTTGCCATCAAGAATGCAGCGAAGGACAATGGGGTGAGCGCGTCGCATGCCGGTCGCATGCCTGTCGCATGCCTGTCGCATGTGAGCCAAATTCCAGGGCTATTGTTACCATCGTGCCATGTAAACATCTCTCGACAGTTGCAGCTCCTCTCAAATCAGAAATCTCCCGTTTTTTTTTTTTTTTTTGGGTTTTTGTTGTTTTTGTTTTTGGCTGCACAAGCAATTTCAGGCCCACACTCAAGGTGCACTCCAGGATCTTGCCTGCAGGGGGCTCTGTGCTTTGCATATTTGGGCACCACTATCCAGTGTGTCTCATTTTCAAGGAGCATATCTGGGTCATTTTAATCTGGGATCAATATGATGTTCACAAACACATTCATCACTAAATACAAAGTGGAAAATGTACATTTTCTGTGAAAATATGTGTTTTATAAATATTAAATCCTTGCGTGCTGCATGCGTTGTTCCCTAACTCTATCTTGATAGAGTAATCCATTACTGTCTCACCACAGATAGCTAATCAAATGTGGAATAAGTCGATTATTGAACAGCCCTTTGTTTCAGTTTTAAAATTCTCATATTAACAGATTAGAGCATCTAGCATCATTCTGAGCATGAATCAGTGAAAAAATTAGGAGATATTTTATCACTAATGTATTTTTTCCTGACCATTATGTTTCATTTCACTGTTTTTCTTTATTTCAGGCTGCTCAGTTACAGAAAGCCTCTCAGGTAAGTGACTGAAGACTAAAGTTGTATGTGTGTGTGTGTGTGTGTGCGCACACGCGTGGATTAGCTTTATATTACATTTTGGGGACCAAATGTTCCCCACAATGTAATAAAAACCTGCTATTTTGATGCTGTGGGGACCATTTTTCAGGTCCACACAAAGATGTATGAATGCAATCAAAAAACTAAAAATGCCTAAAGTCTCATATTTTGTTTGGTTACTTATGGTTAAGCATAGGGCTGGGTAGGGGTTAAGGTCTCCATGTTGGGATTAGAGTTTTCCCCATAGAAATAAATGGAGAGTCCCCACAAAGATATAATTGCAAACCTGTGTGTGTTTGTGTGTGTGTGTGTGTGTGTGTGTGTGTGTGTGTGTGTGTGTGTGCGAGCAGGTTTACCTATCCTTATGGGGACATAATGTCCCCATAACGTGATAAATATCCGGTTTTTTTCCCGGTTTCCTGGTCCCCATAAGGGAAATCTTTTTTATATTTTATAAAAATCAGTGACTGCTATGAAAAAACTAAAAATGCAAAATCTCTTGTATTTTGTTAGGTTACTTATGGTTATGGTTAGGGCAGGGTGGGGGTTAAGGTTGTCATAGTTAGCGTTAGCATTTTTCCCATTGAAATGAATGAGCGGTCCCCATAAGGATATGTTTACCCTACATGTGTGTGTGTGCGTGTGTGTGTGTGTGTGTGTGTGTGTGTATGTGCAGGCGTCTGGAGCTCTCCTACACACAGCCCACAGAGCATGCCCTGTAGCAGCCCCAGCTCCGGGGCCCTCTTACCAAGCACCCCATAAATCAGCCGAGCGTGACTAACACCACGGTAACCGGAGTCATCGCCCGGCCTCCCCCAGCCCTCCTGTGCGCGGCTGCCTTTCAGCTTGGGAAATAATAGGCGCCGTGTTGAAAAATCCTGCAGCCCCAGGAGTGCTTCATAATTGAAGGGTGAGGTCAGTGCTGCCTTCCATTTTGCTGGAACCTTGAGCCCAGAGAAAGGAAATTACAGTAGGATGAAGTGATTATGGGCAGGCATCACCTACATGGGCTCCCTGGGACGGCTTGGTGGGAGAATGTTCAGCACATTATGTGTTCGGTTTCATCAATGTAAACAAAGGCCTGAATAGGCATATATATCGGCCAACAGCGTAATAGAATCAGCGGTTACAGATGAGAGGTGATGCCAATCTTGTCAAATGGACATGTTTAATGTTTGTTGTCAGTCACTGAACGATATGTTCTAATTACGATGAGGTTTAGAGAATCATCGTGATCCGTCTGTCATCTGTACAAAGGGATTCAGGACTGCAGTGGGTGTTTATTTAAAGTGATTATTTATTGTGGCATAAAATAAAGCTGACCATTACTGTTCTCCCACCGACAAAGCGACAAGCCTCACTCAGGCCCTCCATGGCTCTTAGAAACAAAAAACAGAAGGTGACTTGACACAGAGCTGCAGCTTTTGTTCCACATGACCTACGGTGTGTTTACCTATGTATACAGCTGAATAGTTTACAGAATAAGCCAAGGGTACATCAGCAGAACCCCTGCTGAGATTCCAACCAGAAGGTCTCTCTCCTTACCTGTTGATTTATAATGAGCACAACTGGCCGTGCTCTTCTTGCGACTCCCACTCAGGTACAGTTCCTGTCCTGTGGGAATCAGCTCCAGACAGATGCCTCTCACACACAACTCATCCATAACAGCTTAACTCTTTCAGCTTAATGCTTAAAATATGCTGCAAAACGGAGACCTGCTTGCATTTACCTGGCCATTTTAGCATCTGTTCGGCCAACGGGATTTTCGTTTTTGTTTACTGCATGAATTTGTTTTGCGAAACAAACAAATTATGTTAAGTTTACATTTGACCCCCATTCATAATTTATTTATAAGGCTGCCTTCCTCTTAACCCATGTGGTGTGTTAACCGTAATGTAATAGCCAGTAATACAATAGTTTTTACAGTGTTGAAACAGATGGGGTTGACCTTCAGGAAGAGTGTAATGTGTATGTGAGTATTTGTGTGTGTGCATGTGTGTGTGTGTGTGTGTGTGTGTGTGTGTGTGTGAGAGAGGTACATTGACCCTAACCTCCACTCTTCATTTTTAGACCCATCAGCAAAAAGACCTTTCTGCAGCATGTAGAGGACCTGTGCACCAATGACAATGCCAAGTTCCAGGAGGAATTTGCGGTATGCCGGCCAGCCCGTGGTTCCACTGGACAAACCCCCCCCCACCTCCCAGTATGACAGAGCACCCAGAAAGCCACCCCCTGATCAATACCCATTTTACCAGCTTCACTGTTTGCATAGTAATGCAAGACGCCCTTGTGTCCAGGCCGTAGCATTGCAACCTGTTGAGAATAATTCACAAGTGTGTCAGGACTGAGAGTCTGAAGATCCTCTTACCACACAAAGTCCATTTACCAGGGTAAATTTGGCACCGGTATGTCAGCATTCATCCTTATTATGAGCATTAACTTTACCACCTCTGCCATGTGGAAACCGTATAATAATCTTTATACAGTGCGAAACTACCACAGAATTCAGAGAAGGTTGCCGTAAATATACTTGAAGGATTAGGAGCTATAATTATTTTCTTTAGTTGGAAGGCAAGCGATGGGAATCAGACAGTCTTTATTGTGAAAAAAAATATATATGAATTGTTATGGATTGGATTACGAAATTCCTATTTCGCTTCTCTGATAGGATTATTAGCATCTTAAAGATGATTCAGAGCTCATGATTAAAATGTGTTTTCTTAGCTTTAAGGATTAGTCTTTATAGTCTTTGTCTGGTAAAATATTAAGCATCTACATTTACTGTATTTATAGCTCATGCTATTGTATCTTTTACTAATTACAGTTTTAGGAGCAACATGTTATTTCCCTTCTCATAGCCTCGACTACTCGTTGGCCCCATTATGTTAGTATAATAAATCCGTAACAGCTGATTACTGAAGAAAATACCATTCATCTCCACAGCTCTCCCATTTGTCAATATCCTGTTAGTTTCTCTTGGAAACCATTATGTTCCTCTTCAAAGGCCTGCCGAGCACATCAATGGGTGATTTTGGGCGCAACGCGAACTCTCGGTCAAGTTGCATTATTAAAAATGAAACTCCGAGGGAGTTCATAGGGGCTTCTCTCTGTGTTACTGCAAATTGAAAATACCGAATTCAGGGACAGAAAGAACAGACGGGCCGTATGGGGAGATATAAAGTCTCATGAGTTTCCTGGATTAGGAGATTAAATCGTAAAAATACCAGACTGTGGTATGATGGGGGGCCGTCGTATCCATTCCAAAAAACAGAGCAGCATGTCGATTTTGAATGTTCATGTCTTAGGGAGAAATGTCCAGCAATGGCTGACTCCGAAATGCCCAGTCACCCTGTTACCCACCAGCTGGTGGTCCTTAAGGCCTGGGAAGAAGCAAGCATGGAAAGGGAATTAGCCTCTCACCCCTGGGTCCAGTGAGGGCAATCCTGCCTGGGTCAAGGGTAGACCCATGAGAAGGCATGACCTCAGACACCCACTGGCTAAAGACAGGGCATCGGTTCATGACACCACCAATCCATCAGTGACCTCGTGTACGAGCCAAATCAATCACACAGGAAATGGCTTTAGACCAAATTACATGAGCGACGTCGTCAAGGTGGACGCATCCTCGTTTCTGCGGCCGGCGGTGTGATGAGAGTCGTCAGCAGGGGCCGGGAGACCCTGCACATCGGCTTCACCTGACGACTGGACGTTTGTCTCTTCCTTAGGAACTCCCCAAGGTTCTGCCGGACCTTGCGACTGCCGACGCCGATCTGCCGTGGAACAGATCCAAGAACCGCTTCACAAATATCAAGCCATGTAGGTGCAGCGTTTCGCCAACGGAGAGCTGCCATGACATCAGCTAGCGGAGTCTTCCTATCAAATCTGTTTGCTCTCACTAATGGGCACAGTGCGCTAGCAATGGCTTTGAACTTAATATCCCAAAACTAAGAACATGCAGATACATTTATTATCTTTCTCCTTTCGCTTTGAAACTTAAAACCATAGTCTGACCCTCAGCAGTAGGAGCTGTGCCAGCGACGATAGCGAAAGAGAGAGTGTTTACTTTGCATTAGAAACGTTAGTCTCGGCCTCTTATCTGGCTGATGTTGTTGCTCTTATCGGGCTTTTGTATTCTTGAATGATGTCTGTCTGCCAGACCCTTATGAGAGCTTATGCTTCAGTAGGCCTGGGGGGGTGGCGGGCGATGCTATCACAGGGGGGCAGGAGCGTGACACTCCCCCAGCCGCGGAATCCGACGGCTCAGTTAATAAGGGTAGAAAGACTCGTGTTTGCACAGGCTTTACCAAGCCCTGGCTGGTATTTTGCTGGTACCCAGCTTCATCCTGCCCTGTGATCTTCCCCCGCCATCTGTTGAGTTCTCATTTGCACAGGAACCAACGGCTCGGCCCTTAATTGGCCGACATTCTAGTTCTGGAGTCTGACGCTCTCCAAACAAACATGAAACTCGCTTTAAATTTCTAAACCCCTTAAGGATGGGGATTTCTGGCAGTGTTATATCCACCCGTGATTTGCTAAGTGATCCTCTGGTCGATATCCGTGTTTGTACGTGTGCTTAGAGTGTGGTGAAATGCTTTACATTGCCAGAATATCAGTCAAATCATACATATCTGGGCCCCTATCTTTACTACTCTGTTTATTTTAAGTCATGGTAATACTTATTGGTAATATCTATAATAATTTATTTAGTTGCTTGTCCGTGTCACTCAGCACAGGTTGCATGATGCACAGCATGCTTATGGCCCTCTCTGTCTCCTAGACAACAATAACCGTGTGAAGTTGCTGTCAGAGCCCGGCATTCCAGGGTCAGACTACATCAACGCCAGCTTCGTCTCGGTAAGTACTAAGTACATCCCCTGGGCTGGAGGTCTGCGGCTGGCAGGCAGAGCGATGAAGGAACCAGGCTGTACTTCCAAGTGTACACTCGGGTGTTGTCCAGCGGGGTCAGGGGATTGTAGTTTCACAGGGGACCCTGAAGGTCCTGGGAAGTGATGAGAAAAACAGGTGTTAATCTGGGCAACATCGCCGTGGAGGTGTCTGGCCTCTGACAGCGATCTGTCCGCTCCCGGTTTCGGGGAACCCACCCCAACACGTGAAAATGCGGCATCTGTCTCTGACGTCGCCGGCTCAGACCGGGAAGGTTCTGCTGCAGCTCTCATCCCCGGATCTTGTCATCAGTATTTTTATCTCCTGAAACACAAGCTCCCGCTCCCGCCGGTGAGATCGACTCGGGCTTTTCTGAGGATGGTTTGGACACGTCGCGTACCGTAACAAAGGCAAATAAAACAATTTACATTCCTGGCACCGAACCAGAATTTGGCAAGAGGTATCAATTAAAATATTTCATAATGAAATGGTTATATAACTATTCCATAATTGCCAGCCTTGAGCAGGTTTCCAATGTGGCCCTGTTTTTTCTGCCCTGCTGGCCGCTTGTTCACTTTGTGCAAAACAGATTTGATGCACAGTGGAACAAACTGAAGTTCCTGCTTTCAGTGTCAAGCATTGTCACCATCATCGTCCTGTCTGCTTCACAGGGCTATTTGTGCCCCAACGAGTTCATCGCCACGCAGGGCCCGCTGCCGGGCACGGTGGGCGACTTCTGGAGGATGGTGTGGGAGACGCGTACCCGCACCATAGCCATGCTGACCCAGTGCTTTGAGAAGGGCAGGGTGAGTGTGCCCAGCGGAGGCGCGGGGTGTGGGGGGGCACTGGCTTCTTCATGACTTCCCATGTGTCTGCTTGCTCCAGATCCGCTGTCACCAGTACTGGCCCGAGGACAACAAGCCTGTCACCGTGTTCGGTGACATCGTCATCACCAAGCTAGCAGAGGATGTGTTCCCAGACTGGACCGTGCGAGTCCTTAAAGTCGAGAGGGTAAAGTCTCGATCCCATTAAAAGTGACGTCTGTCACCTGCGCCTCCATATCACATGGTACTTTAATGTGGGATGTGTCCCCCCCGCCCCCCAGCATGGGGACTACATGGTTGTGAACCACTTCAACTTCACATCCTGGCCGGAGCACGGCGTGCCGGAATCCAGCGCCACCCTAATTCAGTTCGTGAAGTCCATCCGCGCCAACAGAGGACGGGACAACTCCAATATTGTGGTGCACTGCAGGTGAGACCTGCCACTGTCAGTCCCAACTTTTATAAACCAGTACCACTGTAAGACTAGATCACTGTCAGCCCCAACCACTGCATACCTGGATCACCATAAGACTGGATCACTGTCAGCCCCAACTACTGTAAGCCCTGACCACTGTAAACCTGGACCACTGTAAGCCCCGACTACTGTCAGCCCCCTCCAACTGTAAACCTGGACCATCACTATAAGCTCGGATCACTGTGAGCCCCAACCTCAGTAAGCTCTGACTGTTGTGAGTCTGAACTACTGTCAGCCCCACCCACTGTCAGCGCCGACCACTCTAAGGCCTGACCACTGTAAGGCCTGACCACTGTAAGACCTGAACACTGTCACTGTGATGTTGTGTTGATCTGCGGGTATTATTGACTGCCTCTGTGTACCTGCTGTGTGTTGATCTGTGGGTATTATTGACAGCTTTTGTGTACCTGCTGTGTGTTGATCTGTGGGTGTTATTGACTGCATCTGTATACCTGCTGTGTGTTGATCTGTGGGTATTATTGACAGCTTTTGTGTACCTGCTGTGTGTTGATCTGTGGGTATTATTGACTGCATCTGCGTACCTGCTGTGTGTTGATCTGTGGCTTTTGACTGCCTCTGTGTACATACTGTGTGTTGATCTGTGGGTATTATTGACTGCTTTTGTGTCCCTGCTGTGTGTTTATCTGTGGGTATTATTGACTGCATCTGTGTACATGCTGTGTGTTGATCTGCGGGTATTATAGACTGCCTCTATGTACCTGCTGTGTGTTGATCTGTGGGTATTATTGACTGCATCTGTGTACATGCTGTGTGTTGATCTGTGGGTATTATTGACTGCATCTGTGTACATGCTGTGTGTTGATCTG